GGGGGGCTGGGCCCCGGAGGGGTCCCTGTGGCGGAGGGTGCGATCCGGCGGGTCCCGGTATGGCGAGGGGGAGGCGGCGCGGGTGGGCGCAGGCCCGGGCCGGCCCTTCCCGGTAGCGTCGGAGGGCCCCGGGTTGTGGGAGGGTCGCTGCCGCACTGCCCTGAGGGGATTTCCACCCGTGGTTGTGGTCGAGGGTGGGCGCCAGGGTCGAGGAAACCCCCCTGCAGCTGCAGGACCCGCTTGTGGCTCCCCCGGAGCCCCGGACCTGGGGAATGGGGGCTCTGGGGAGGGAAGGAGGAGGGAAGGAAGGATGGATGGATGGATGCATGCATGCCTCTGCTCCCTGTGGAATATACATCTGTCTGGGGGCAGCTCACGGGCTGAGGTGGGACCATCCAAAGGGCTTGAGCCCTCCACCTCTTTCAGCAGACCAGAAGGGAGCTGGAAGCACCGGTGTCTGCTTCAGCTCTTCCCTCTCAGCGTGTTTTCCCCCTTATCGGAAAAAATAAAACTAACCAGCTAAACCCAGGCTGTTGTGGGGCCGGCGGAGGAAGGGCAAGCGGGTTCTGCTGGGCGCTGAGAGGTGAGCTGTAAAGCAGGGCTTTAGGAGTGACACTAGAAGTGACACGAGCAGATAAGGGTCCCGGGCAGGTCCCTGATAAGCTCCCCCAGGCAGCTCAGGGAGCTGGGTGCTGAGCGATTAGCACTTGCTCACTTTTCTCTGGCTGTAAGTCTTAATGGAGGGACTGATTCGTTTTGGGGCAGTTGGTGTCACCCCCTTGTGTCTGTGTTGCTCAGATCTGGCTGGTACCGATTTGTTTTTCTCCCCCGTAGGTTTTTTGCTCTGACTTCTCTTCGCTTGCTGTTCCTGGTTGCACTTACCCTTATAGTAGTAGTTTGTTTAGATCAGTGGAAGAGCAAAATCTGGCCTGAAATCAGAGGTAAGTTGCAACATTTGAGTCAATAGCAACGAATCAAGCGCTGTTTTATAGCCCTAGAGATCTACAGGCCGTGGCTGCCTGGAGTTAAATAGTGAAAATCCTGGAGTTTTTGCTTTGTGAGTCTAGAAGCAGGTGAGAACACTGCAGGCAGGTTCTTCCTGGAGTTGGAAAATCCTAACCTATATAAGCGTAAGCAGAGCTTTTCATTCTTGTGACACTGGTATTTGTCTTATAATCTTGAAGTGTCTGGTGTACGTGAAGTGGTGCAGGTTTTGCAGCAGTGATTCACCTCCCGAGCATTCACTGCGAGAGCGAGAAACTGAAGCACACGTGGAAATTGGATCTGTAATAAACCAGCTTCATGGTTTAGGACAATGCTGAGTCCCAGCCTTGCTCTTGAGTAGAGATTTCTTTGAAAGGAGAAGCATCTTAACAGCTGCTAATGAAGTTAGCCTAAAGCTTTCAGTAAACAAAGCAGTTCTATCCTTTGTGATATTAATGAACTCATGGAAACTACCAGCTCAGGATTCCATTGGCTTTGCATGGGCAGGTTCTGGAGCAGCGTTTGGTTTGCATGCTCTCCGAGCTGGTTCCCTGACTAACCAGCAAGTACAACTCCCAGCTTTCCGCTTCAGCCCGTGTTCCCTGTAGCTCTGGGGAAGACATTAAGGTTCTCCTCGCTTTCTAGCAGCAGCTTGGGCTCAGGTTCGGTGGCTGAAGTGAGGAGGAAATGTCTGTCCACCTCCCTCATAGCCTTGATTTTGATTTGTTGGGATAACTGGTACGTCGCTGGCTCGCTTTTCAAATCCCAGCCTGGGTGAGAAAGTATCAAAAGACTTAAATTCCTGATGCCTCTCAGTGAGCAGGCTGTGATTCCTTCACCGCCTGGGGGAGCGAGGTGAAAGTGGTAGTTTTTTGGTAATACCTGTCCCTGTACCCAGAGCAGCCTTCCAGACAATGGCCAAAACTCTTGAGGAGCAGCGAGAAGACTCCCTCACAGTCTTGTACTGTCCCACGTACACCTTCAAAATGTGTTATGGAGCGATGCATCTCCTGTTCTTAATTACAGTTAATGTCTTTTCCGGGTATTCCCCAGCTCGTTAAAGCTTTACTTAAATCCCCATTCTCATGGCAAATTCCTTGCAACTAATGTAGTGTCTGTTCTTAATATTTTAGTGGCAAGACCTGACGAATTAGACAATGAGAGGTAGGAAACTAATTGAATCCTCTGCTGTTTGGTACTTTGCTGTGATACCGTGTAATTATGACCTGCACGTGCTTGTGATGTTGGCTCCTCTGAGCGAGGAAGGAGGGGGAGAAGGGAGCGACGCAGTGGAAGGAGGACAGAGCCCTGGACTCTGTCAAGACCTTGTGACAAGTTTTTGACTTGCCCAAGCCATTATATTATACTTAATCTTTGCTTCATGCTGCCCTCCAATAATTGCTTGAGTGTTGTAAAACCCCTCCCCTGCACCCTGAAGTGAGAGGGGCTTCCTTAAAAGCAATTCCTTCTGTAGGGCCTTCCAGCAGCCGAAAAGCCAACATTTTGTTGGAAATAATGAAGTTTCCTGAGGCTGCCTAAGGAATGTTTAACAGGCCTGTCCCAGAAGCTGTTGCAGCATAGTTCTGATCTGACTGCAGCGATAATAATGGGTTGAGAAACGCTGGGGTGTTGGCTCACTAATAACACCTTCCTCTCCCTGGGCACACCTTTCTGCCCGGCCGCGCTGCCGAGCCACGCTGGATGCTCAGCTCCCCATTAAATCGCTTGAGCTGTTGCCAAATGACAAATTTTGTATTTTTATTATTTTTGCAAGAGGGCCCAAGCACAAAAGGAATTGCTCTTCCTAACCTCCACGTCCTCGTGACTAGCAGTTAAGAAGCACTAATAGAGCTTGCCAAAGATGATGCCTCTGAAGTAACTGTGTATATGAAGTAAGGGACCAGGCTGCTTGTGTGCTGAATTCTTGGGGGTTGCTGTTGACCAAATAAATGCAGAAATAGCAAAGGGATTGGCTTGATTTGCTTCTGCGCTGCCCTTTTCCTCCAGTAGCATGGGAACTAGTCTAAGCCAAGAGACTGAGTGACTGAAATGGCTGCTCCTTGGCTGCTGTGGCAGAGCTGGGAGGCTTGCAGAGCGGTAGGTAGAAGCGCTGCGGTGTTTGGAAAGGCAGGAGCCAGCAGCTGGGGAGAGGAGAAGGCAGAATGGAGTCAAGTTTGTCTGTAACAAGTGACTTCTGCGCCGACGTCGATGCAGTAATGTCTATTCCTGAATTCTTCCCTTCGCTGCAGCTGGGGCTACGTCCACCCTCGGCTGCTCGGGGTGCCAGAGCTCTGTCACCATTTGGCAGAAGGATGGGTGGCTGTGACCAGCTTCTTAAGTAATCTCTTCATTTTCAAGAGGCAAAACCCTGGAAAGGTAAGAATGTACAGACCTCAGCGAATGAAAGGGTTGGTGTGGAGCCTCTGCTTGAGCGCTCGTCCCATTTTCGTGGTGGCATCCAGCGTTGGCTGAGTGTGCTCAGACATGGGAGGTCACCCCGGGAGGTCTCCCACAACCACCTGGCTCTTGGGTGGTGGAGAGAATAGAAAGAGCAGCAGAATAATCAGGTTGTGGAGGAGGGAGGAGAGGACGAGTGTCAGCATGTTGACTGAACTAGTGGAAACGTAGCTGCTCCGTCTGGAGGTTTCTTGCTTTTTTTAAGTGTCTGTCAAACTCATCTCCCTCCTTGGATTTTAACACTTTGAGAAAGTGTGTCAAGCTTTTTTTTTTTTTTTTTTTTTTTTTTTTTTGGGTTTTCCTGATTAGGGTATGTGAGTTTAATGAGCTCAGTAAGTTAGTAAAGCATGTCCCCATGGGTCATTCTGATATATGTCCAGGGATAGTGGTGGCATGGAAACAAACATAGTAGTTGTAAGCAAAATGACACATCTGGCATCTCAGATGAAACATGACACAGTGCACACTGCAAATAAAACCCTTTGCTGAGGAGAATCTCTGTCAGCTGCAGCAGTGTTGGAGGTTGTCTTCCATTCTTCCCATTCCCCGGGGTAGCATTGCATAGTCACAATCCCTCAAGCTCACTTAGCTCCCTCAAGCTCTGTTAGAAAGGAGAGGTGGCTTAATGAACCTGAACCTGTAGTATTATATGTCATTTTGTCACATATTCATTGCCTATTTGAGATTTTTTTTTTTTTTTTTTTTCTTTTTTTGAGGCTTATGTAACGAAAAGCCTGTATCATGGTGGTACCATTTTTGTCCTGTTCAGCTCGGAGAGTTCTGTCTTTAGCCTCTTCCTTGCTTTTAGTGTCCCTGCTTTGGGAGGCTCCTTGCATTGAGGCAGAAGCTGCCTGTTGCTCTGGAGCCAGATACCTCCTGTGTCTGCGTGGGTGGCTGAACGCTGGGAAGCCTCTGCTGTTGTTAGAATTATGATTTGACCTAGAATCTGCAGAGAGCAAGGTGGTCAGGAACTGAGTGAATGCAGGGCTTAACCTTGGGAACTCACTGTCTCCACGTCTTCAGTTTTGCCTTCTAGTGTGTGGAGTCTTCACTTTCCTGGCTGTCCTGGGCCGGTACATCCCTGGGCTCGTGCTCTCCTACTTGCTGTGTAAGTAGATTTCTGTGCCCGTGTGGACTTGGGAGTGAAAAGGGGTAGAATGAGTGGGATCTGAACGTCCAAGGGATGGGGCTCTTCTGCTCAAAAGGAAAACTTGTGTGAATGGCTTTAAAACCTAATAATACATTCTGCCTGGAATGTGGTGGTTCTTGACCAAGGCTCTAAGGCCTCTGGTCCAGAGGGAACGTGTTTGAGTGCTTAGTAACGAGAGATCTGAGCACCAATAGGTTGGCCTCGTGATGTTGTTAAATTGGCAGAGGTGATGGCACCCATCCTCACTGCCTCTGGCAGCGTTGCCTTCAGTGCTCAGATCCTTTGTGTGTGTTTTGTGCTGCATGGCAAAACGGGCGAGGTGTTTGCCACTGTCGCATCCCAAACAGACTTCTAATCAGTGATTCCCACTTACCTCAGTGCTCTTCCTCCTGCTGTGGCCCCTGGCTGTGTACCACAGGCTGGGGCACCGCATGTACATGAAGCTGGAGCCAGCTCTGCAGCGGCTGGATTTCAGCGTTCGAGGCTACATGATATCAAAGCAGCGGGAGAAGCAACGTAAGTGTCTGCGCTGTGCTCCTGACCCCCTGCTCCCCAAACCAGCCCCTGGCACACGTGTGCCAAGGGCTGCACGTCTGGCACCACGGCTGCTGCTGTGGGGATGGAGCGAGGCAGCTCGGCCTCCGCAGCCTCCTCCTCCTCCCCGTTGGCAGCCGGTGTGAGCGCTTCACGGGGCTGAGCCACTCCGTTTCTCAGCTGCCAGCACCGTGTGTTCCATGTTGCAGTTGCACTGAAAAAATAAAGAGGGAGGGCTCAGACCTGCTAGAGGCAACTACTGAAGAGAAAGATCTAGGGGTCCTGGTGGACAGTAAAATAACAATGAGCAAGCAGGGTGCTCTTGCGGCCAGGAAGGCCAATGGTATCTTGGGTTGCAGAGGGAAGAGTGTAGCCAGCAGGTCAAGGGAAGTCATTCTCCCCCTCTGCTCTGCACTGGGGAGGCCACAACTGGAATCCTGCGTCCAGTTCTGGGCTCCCCAGTTCAAGAGGGACAGGGAACTACTAGAAAGAGTCCAGCGAAGGGCAACAAAGATGATTCAAGGATTGGAGCATCTCCCTTATGAGGAGAGACTGAGAGAGCTGGGACTCTTTAGTCTGGAGAAGAGAAGGCTGAGGGGAGACCTTATTAATGCCTACAAGTATCTCAAGGGTGGGTTGAAGGAGGAGGGAGCCAGACTCTTTGCAGTGGTTCCCAGGGAGAGGACGAGGGGCAACGGGCACAAGTTGGAACAGAAGAGGTTCCACTCAAATATGAGGAGAAACTTCTTCCCAGTGAGGGTGGCAGAGCCCTGGAACAGGCTGCCCAGGGAGGGTGTGGAGTCCCCTTCCTTGGAGATTTTGAAGACCCACCTGGATGCTCCTGAGTAACATGCTCTGACAAGCTCTGGGCAATCCTGCTTCAGCAGGGGAGTTGGACTAGATGATCTCTATGGTCCCTTCCAACTCTAAAATTCAGTGAAATTCAGTGAAAAGCAACTGCTAAACACGTTCATCTCGGCAAAAGATCTGCAGCAGCCCGAGTCAGAAACGGTCCCGTTGCTCTGCTGTGGACAAAGCATGCTGTGTTGTGTCCGAACCTGCCTGTTTGGGGGTTTTTGCTTGGCTTAAGGCTGGTTGCTGTGCAGCCCCCTGTCCTGGCAGCAGCACTAAGCTTTGGCTCTGGTTTCTGGCAGTGCGTCGCCGGGCCCTCAACCAGGAGGCTGGGGATGACGGGAGTGACAGCGAAGAGGAGCTGGCGGCGTTCTGCCCCAAGGTGAGAAGCATTTCTGAGACAGAGAGCTCAGCTGAAGAGAACAGACTGGGCACACACTGCCTGTGCTGTATCCAGCACGTGGCAGCTAGAAAATGGGATGAGGATATTCTCCTTTTAGAGAGGTCTTTCCTATTCTGTCTCACTCAAGTGTGTCCAGCGCTGTTTGTTCCAACTGCTGTCTCCTCAGCTGGGGCAGTGAAGTGTGAAATGAGCCTCCCGCGTGGACTGGGTTTAACTGGAGGCCACTGGATCACGTGTTTTGTCCCGAGGCACAGGGATAAGCTTTCCAGTATTGATGTTTTCCATTTTATCTCCCCTTTCAAAGCTGGATGACTCTGTGGTCGCCAAGGAATTAACCATCTCTGACTCGGAGCATTCGGATGCTGAGGTTTCCTACACTGAAAATGGGATGTTTAACCTTTCAAGGGGCCAGACTCCGCTGACAGAGGGCTCGGAAGGTGAGGGAAATGGGTGGAAGGTGTGGAATGCTGAGCAGGCACCAGTGGGAGGGGTAGGAGGGGAGGATACATTCGTTACCCTCTGTCCTTCAGCTCCAGCTCTTTGATGTCTGTCTCCCTGGCTGAGAGATGCAACTACCTGTTTTTTCAGAACTGTTTTTCTTAACTCCTGTGGTTCTTCAGCAACGCAGTAACAGCTGCTCTTCAGATCCAGCTCTGCTGGTCTCTGGCTTTGGGGACATGGGTTGTGGTGCCCAGGCTGGGAGGGGATGCTTTCCCCTGCAGAAGGGTCTGGTTCAGCATCTGCCTTCCTGGGAGTGAACTGGGAGGGAGTGAACTGGGAGGGCACCATCAGGCATCCCAATAGCTGTGAGAGGGGGAGATGAAAGAGCTTTTGGTGTGTGGGATGGCAGGAGACAGTCTGTCTGGGGGAGGTAATGGCCCAGCATGTGTGTGTGTGTGTGTGTGTGTGTGTGTGCTGAGCCTGCAGGCTGTTAAAAGCACTTTTCTGGGTATTTAAAGCACTTTTCTGGGTATTTAAAGCACTTTTCTGGGTGTTAAAAGCACTTTCTGGGTATTTAAAGCACTTTCTGAGTGTTTAAAGCACTTTCTCCTCTTCTAGACCTGGACGGTCACAGTGACCCAGAAGAATCCTTTGCCAGGGATCTCCCTGACTTCCCTTCCATTAACCCAGAGGCAACTGGCATCGACGACGAAGATGACACCAGCATTGGGATCCCAAGCCTGGCTTATCGCTCGCAAGGGGCAGAAGATCTGCATCTCCCTTACGAGCAGGAGGACTCCGGGGCGCTGCCGTCCGTCCAGAACCTCACCAACAACATCGCCGGGTTTGTCACCAGGGGGATGATCCAGTTGGCTCTGTCAGGAGCCTCCCAACCCGGCTTCGGGCGCAACGACCATCCCCAGAGAGGTGCAAAGACTTACCTGAGAACGGCCAGCTCGGATTTGGACACTGACGCTGAAGGGGATGACTTTGAGCTGCTGGATCAGTCCGAGCTGAACCAGCTGGATCCCGCGGGCTCTCGGGGCCAGTAACCAATCCCACAGCTCCCACTGGTTTTCTGTCGCGCGGCGTGGAGGGGAATCCTGGATGGAAAAGCCTTGCACAGTCCTCTTGGTCGTCTCCCGTGTGAGTGACGTGGGCACTGACCCTGGCTGGGAACACCACTGTGACCTGTGACTCTGTAGCCTGGCTTGGATTTTAAAATAAACTCCGCTGGTAATGGATAGGGAAGAGCCCTTGGTGTGACAGCTCCACAATCACCCCGTGTCGCCCTGCACCCTCTGCTGGGATGCTGCTTGCTCCCCAACGGCCTCACCTGAGACAATAAATCCGGTGGCTGCAGCTCCAGGGACCGACCTGGCGTCGCCGAGGACAATCCTGGAGCCGACCTTGGGGGCTGGAGCGTGGCTGGGACGGGAGCTGCTCCCTGTGAGACAACCATTCCCCCCTAAAATCTGCACAGAATCCAGGTCTTCTCTCCCAGCAGTGTCCAGCTCCGGGTAGAACAACCCCCTTTGCTCCTCTCGTGGACACGGTGGCAGATGGCCACCACCTTTGTACCCGCGGTGGCCCCCGTCCCCTGGTTCCTGCTTCCTGGTGACGCCGTTCCGTAGGAGATGCCATGGCAATAAGACCCCGGTGGTGACAGCTCCCGCGGCCATCGTCTGCCTCCGGTGGCTGCTCTCCTGTTGCTTTCCTAAAATAAGGGACTAGCACTTTGCTCGCTGTGCCCCGAGCCCCCGGGGGGGGACACGGCGGAGCTGCCCCCGGGAGCTGCTGGGGCCGGGATTTCCCGAAGGGGGGAAGCAAGGAACCAGCCCCACCGGGAGCCCCCGGCAGGGACACAGCCCACACCCCCCGGGACCTTGCCGTTGGGGTCACGCACACACACCAGCAGCCTCCCGGGGGGGGTGGGACGCTCCGCCGCCCCCGGCCCCCAC